GTGAGGCCACTTTCCCACCAGGCACAATCTCGCTGGGAGCACAGAAACCCCACGCTTGCACATGCCATCAGCACGGGAACTCACCCCAGCTTTCCTCGGGACGTCCCTCCCTCAGGCAGCCCGCTCTCCAGCGGCCCGCGTCCTTGATGAGCACATGAACACGGCGCATGCGGCCGTGCCGCCCCTCCTGCTCCCCGAAGCCTCCGGTGGTGAGGATCACGTGGGGTTCGATCAGGACACAGCGGTGGCCGTAACGCCTCAGGCCGGAGCTTCCGGAGCGCAGTGCGCATGCTGCTGCGGGGATGGTCCCAGCCGGCCCCACAGGCCCGTCCCGAGGAGCTGTGAGCCAAAGAGACCCCAGAACTCAGGCACAAGATCCCAGTGCACGTTCCGAATGCGGATTCGGCAGCTTCTTGAGGAGGAGTTGTGGAGCACGTGACCAGCCTAACCCTGGAAACGAAGCCGTAGGGAACTGCCACCGCCTCAACCGCTGCTCCCTGCTCCGGCAGCTCCTGGCACAGCGCCGGGGCTGCCTTAATGGGGTGCAGGCCAGCCTGGCCCAGAGAGCAACATCCGGAACCGTGGCAGTACAACAGGGATCCCCATGGTACCTTGAGAGGGAACCTTCCCACGGAGGCAGATCTGGCTCCAAAAGCAGCAAGGAACAGCTGGAAGGACAGGACAGTCCCGAGAGCCAGGTATGGAGGCAGTGGGAATCCACTGGAAAGGGAGAGTCTGCGGGATCCCAGAAGCAGAGGCCAGGAAGCCTGGCACTGCAAGCGCCGCGCAGGGCCCCGTGCGAGCAGAGGGAAGAGCCGTGCGGGCTCCGGGGTTCATCAGCTGCAGTGTTAAACTCATCGGAACCCCCAGGTGAGGCCGCAGCCCCAGCCGCACCACAGACAGCAAAACCAGCGCCAGAGGGTGGAGAAAGCCACTCCGATGGCAGTATCCCACCTGCTCCTCCAGGGCTTTACTGTCCCCTACCTGCGTGAGACAGCAGAACACGACGAAAACCCGTCAGTACATACCTGTCACAGTGGGCAGCAACGGAGTCCAGGAAGGCTCCATCCCCCTTGACGCAGCCAGGACGAGATAGTGAGCACATTTCAGATGCCATTCCTGCAGTGTGCCCCAAGACAAACAAACAACCCCCTCAATCGCAGAGCAAGCAGCAGGAGCTCAGCGTGTCCAAGGTCGGACAGCCCCCAAACCAACACCAGGCCAAAGCTGAGCCTGAGAACGAGCATGTGTTTAACAACCCTCCTCAGCCCACCCAGCCTACCTGCAGTTCAGGGATTTTCCGAGCAAGCAGCTGTGCCTGCCCTCGGACTGAACAGTCACGGACAGGTTTCCCATCCATGAGCCCGGACAGCTGCTCCGTGAACTCACACGAGCTCCTGCCTGGAGCGTGCTGCGGCAAGGGGTCCCGCAGCGTCACCCCCCGGGCGCGAGGGACTGTACGGGGCTGGCGACCAGCCTCCCTTGCCACTTCCCAGTCGGGATCACAGGAAAGAGCGAGGGCTGTATACCAGGGGGATTAGGTTTCTTGAGGGCAGGGAATACCAGGGACCCCAAAGAAACGCAGCCGGTGCTGGCTGGTCACACACAAACACAGTTTCCAGGAACCACCAGCACAGGGAGCATACAGGGCCAGCAGCAGCACTGTGGTCCATGTCCATGGGACCCGGGAACTGGGCACGCTCATTCCCATGGGGTGGGACACATTCAGCCAATCACGTGACCAGGAGGCACAAACACGCATCTAAACGGCACAAGAACCCACAGTATGGGCATCATCCCCCGCCTCCTGCCAGAACTAACAAGCGTCTCTTCCAAAGTGCTACTCAAAATCCCTGTACATACTGAAAACGAGTGAATCCACGGCTGGTCCCCAGGGAAATGATTCAAAAAGCACCGAGCATGGGTTTTACCCTCTGAACCAGCTCAATCCACCTCGTCCCAGCAGGACCTGATCTTGCTTTCTCTCAAAGCCTCACAGTGTAATTCATCAGACCTCACTCCTGCGCACACTTCCAAGCTCTGACCTGGGCATGTGGCAACCCCCCTAAGGGAAAGCGGAAAGCCTGGGAATGGCCTTGGCCTACAGCCCCTGTTGGAGACGTTCCCACATCACGGCGCAGATCACCAGCGCCCCTCAGCCATCACGTCCCGTCACGGGGCAGAGCGCACCCAGCCATTCCCTGCTGCGGGCTGTTAACATTCCTAGAGGGAATGGCAAAGAGACCCACAAAACCGAGAGGGCACCTCCCGAGTACCCTGTGGGACACTGACCTCGGAGCTACCCAGTGCCTTTCACTCACGGTCTCACTCCAGTCACCACCTCTGCCAGCCGTTACCACGCCAACGGCAAGGAACAGCCATCCTGAATTTCAGTCAGTGCTACGGGAGCGGCTGCCCAATGTCAGGGCAAAGCACAACCGCGAGGACTGGCCTGCGCCCAGCAACAACAGACAGTAACAGCCTTCGGAAACGCTGGAGCGGGACAAGCGCATCCACCTGCCCCGGGACGCGCCTACCCTTCGCAGTCAGCTCACTTCAGGTGCTTCCATGTACCCCGCAACCCCCGAGGGATTTCTCTTTCATGGATATAAACCCTGCTGAGCCCAGGTAAAGTTTTAGCATCTGCATCACCTGTTTACCAGCAGCTGCTTCGCTCAGCTACAACTGTCCCCCTGGTCACAGAGCTTCCGGTAGAGCTTCCCACGGGCTCGGCGTTAACCCAGGCTGAGTCACGCCCCGTCTGCCTGGCGAAGGCCTCAGCAGCCCCCAGACTGTCCCGTGGCCGCAGGAAGCTGCCGACCCCGGATGGCAGCAACGCGAGGTCGCTGGTGTGGAGAGCAACGGGGGGTACCTCATACTCATCAAAAGGCTCCAGAGCCTGCACCCTCTGCTGCTCAGCCTGTGGGGTACAGCAGGTGAAGAACTCGTTCATGTCCATGACACTGCACTCCGTCCAGCCCTGAAACGAGAATGCCTCAGAATCAGCACTTCCGGAAGGACTCGTTTCCCACTAGAAACAAAGACCTGGCACTAAACACCCGCAGGAGCCTTCAGGACTGTGGCTGTTCCACGAGCAGCCCAGACACACTGCGGGCAGTTCCCTTACCTGAGCAGCTCTTAGGAACTTCATTTATTCCATCAGAGGTCCCAGAGGGACCCATCCTGCCCTAATCCCAACCCCGAGAGAGGCTGCAGCTGGCTGGAAGGACCTTCCAGTGACTACAGTCATGCTACCGGGGACGGCCGTGTCTCAGCCCGTCGGCTTCCACGCCAACTGACGCAGCCACTGAGTTCCAGAATGACAGCGCATTCCAGCCTTCACCAGGCAAATCCCACCTCGCGCACGCCCCAGAGCTGCAGGGACCCACCTTCGCAAGAAAGCGCCTGCGCTGCGCCTCGCTGTCGGGGTACTGCGCCAAAGACCGAAGCGTGGAGTTGAGCTGGCTAAAATGCTGCTGCATGACACGGCCAAAGGGGTCCTGCGGGCACGTCTGCTCGTACAGCAGGAAGCACGCCCGAGGGAAGCGCTCCGCTGCCCACCGAATCACGGCATCCGACCTGCCGGGCACATTGCAGGGACACATCCCGTAGCTGAGGGCCCACCCGTCCCGCAGCACATGCCGTAAAAACCATCCAACATGCTACCAGGGCACCCTGGCAGAGATGACACACCACGGAGAACCCCGTGCTGGGAACTCGGGGGCATCTCCAACCCCCTCTGTGCAGAGAATTCAGGGATGAGAGGAACAAAAAGCTCAAGTTCAGAGGGTTTTCCCCTTTTTCCCCTCCCTTTTAGGAGGCCCTGGGGACATCAATCACCCCATCCCCTCTCCAGCCCCCCACAGGAGCCCTGGGCTGTAGCGCTGGGGCAGGGGGTCCCCCAATCCCAGGTGACGCAAAGGCCGCCCGTTCCCCTCACGTCACCCCGCGCTGAGTGGGTCGCCCCACTGACCTGCTGCTGTCCATGTAGGCGAGCACCACCTCTGCTACGAGGAGCGTGGGGACTCCAGGCTCCAGTCCTGCCTCCGCCAGGGCTCTCTCCAGCTCAGGCAGCTCCGAGAGATCCGCTCCCAGTAACTTATAATCCTCCCCAGCAAAGGCAACGAGTCCTGGGAAACAAGAAGGGCAAAGGCTCACCACTGCGCTGCTCTGATTCTGGGGCCAGAGGGGCAAGCGGGGGGCAGCCAAACAGGCCACCACTGACGAGGCTGTGCCCATCGGCTCCGCTCCGCTGGGGTCAAGACTGGAGCCGTAAAGCAGGCGGGGCTCAGTGTCAAGCACGGCTCCAGAACGGCGCTATCCCCACCGTTAACGGCAGCTCCACCTGCGGATTCCTCACTGAACGCCCCCGTTTCTGTAAGATTCCAGCAGTTTTACAGAACCACATCCCAGCCACACCTCAAGGGTTCCTGCTCACAGACCTTCCGGTTCAGGCCACGGTGTGCCTCTGCTGGGACAGAAGCTGCATGGGTTTCCTCAGGGGTTTGGGGCTGGTTTCCTTGTTAAACAGACACATTTCCGTAAAGCGGCCCCGAGTCCCGAAGCGGCACAGGCCAGGTCCCTGTGAGCACCGGGACTAGTCCACCGATCACGGTTCCTGGCACTGAGCTGCAGGTTGGGATTCACAGGCATTGTCCTGGCACACCTCTGGGCTCCACAGCACCCCAGGCTACGGCTTGCTGGGCCATTTAACCAAACCCCAACCATAAACAAACCTCCTCTACGTCCCCGCAGCACTGCAATCCAGCAATTACACCCCAGAGCTGCTAACCCACCCTGGTCCCAAAGGCATCCATCACTGGCGGCACACCGGCCTTCCTCGAGCCCATCCCAGCATTCCCAATCATTTCTACCAGGAACTACCTTGTCCATCCACCATCTCCTCCCCTCTGGGAACAGAGCCCAGGACACCCCCAGCCCCTGACACCCGCCCTTCGGCTGAGGTACTCGAAGACCATTGGTGTGAGCACAATTCCTCACCACGGGATGCTGCCGGTATGGAACACGTGACAGATCCCAGGAACTGGAACAAGCTCAGGAAGGGCTACTCACAGAGCCTTGTTCCATCACCCAGGGGAGCCAGGGACTTGCTCTGCACCCACCTCTGCAGCTGGCTCCCACCCGCATTTAAACGGATCCTTACAGTCCGACCCTGTTAGTGACACCGCAAGGACACCCTTAACACCGCAGGGACACCGTCTCTCCTACCCAGGAATTACAGGGTAAGGGACAGGGAAAGGGGCCTCTGCAGGCCGGCTGGTCCCATTCCCTGCTCAAGGCAGTTCCCTGTGTGAGGCTGCTCAAGGCTCTGTCCAGTCAAGCTCCATCTACCTCCAATGCTGGAGCTTCCACCCCCTTTCCTGGGCAGTCTGCTCCCATTTTTAACTATCCACATGGCAGAAAAAAACAATCCATCAGACGTTACTGAATTCCCTTTGTTCCAATTTGCAGCCATCGATCCTGGACTGCTGCGTGCCTGCAAGGAAAGTCCGGCTCCATCTTTTCTACGTTCTCCCATAAGTGGTTGAAGGCTGCAGCAAGGCTCATCTCCACCCCTGCCAACCCCCTCTCAAGGCTGAGCAAAGACGGCTCTCCCAGCCTTCCCCCTCCATCGCGTGCTCCATCCCTTTATCCTTTCCAGGCCTCTCTGGCTGCAGCCAGCGCTGTCCGTGGGGGGCGAGATGGACATCGCGCTTCAGAACCGAAGGTGGTTGGACACAAGCTGCTCCTCAAACCCGCTCAGCAGCCACTCACCTTCCTGTCACTCCCCAGTGCCTCCAAAAGATTTACGTGTTCTGAACTTTTCCAGAAGGTGATCGTGGCTTTTCAGCTACAGCTTGGCAGCTGCCACCCCCCCTCACCTTCTAAAGGCCGAAGCTGCATTTCCTGCATCCAGGAAAGCTGCTGTGAGTATCATACCTGACCCTTCCTCCCCGACGGTGCCCACCAGCACTGACAGCTCCCTCGTCCTTCTGATCAGAGTGGCCTTCTGACATGCCACGTCTGGGAAATCCACCTCGTACACCACAGTGCGATGCAGGAGACCCACGTCCTTCAGACGGAAGTACAAGGAGTCGAAGCCAGCCCCTAAAGAGAGGATCTGCAGGGAAAGGCCCGGAGAAGGTTATGCGCAACTGCAGCAGCACCTACAGGGGAGAACACTCCGTAACAGCATCGCAGGGACGGAATCAGGCAAGGCGCTGCAGGAGGTACAGTTCTGCGCAGGTATCGCCCCCCCCGGGATTTCTGTCAGTGACAAGCAGACAGCCACAGCAGTGCCACACAGAGTCTCCGTGCTCTGCCAGGAAAGGATCGCAGCAGACGCACCAATGCTACGGCAGTGTCCAGATGCCAAAAACCCTCTTCACACCTCCAGGTATGGCTGGCGGCTGCCAGCCCATGCAGACAAGGAAAACGCACCTGAGCCCGAGGGCAGCCTTGGGTCCGTAGCAGGAAGTCGCGAACACAGTGATCCACAGCTCGGGCGCGGATGTAATAGCCCCTGTGGAGCGAAATCCTGTTGCAATCACGGCCCAATCACGCCTGGTTTCCCTGAATGAGCTCCTTCGGCAGTTCCCACTCACCCGGACTGGTTTAACACCTCGTACTGCGTCGACCCCACAACCCCATCAGCATGGAACCCCGTTCACCTACACACTGAAGTCCTGGCATGTGGGCCCCGCCAAGCTGCAGAGCCCCGCCGGGCAGGCATCGCTGGCCCAAAGGGT